AAAACAATGGTTATGTTACTTTAAGAATAAAATATTATTTTATGTAAATATCAAATTAAGTACCTAACATTAATTAACATTACTTGAATTGTATTGTCAATGCATTTGATTTACAACTAAAATATTTCATTCATGAAGTTCATCTGGAAATACTACACCTGTAAAAATAAAAAGGAAAGAAACCAAAACTGTATAGCAAAGATTATAATTGTAGTATCAAGGCAAATATATGTAGTATTTATATTTCCCTTTTATTTTTAAAGGTGGTGTATTCCCACACGAATTTCATGAATTACAGAGTTCCGCCACCAACAATTTATAGATAATCTTAACCAAAATATTTGTTTCAGTTTATCATCATCTTCTGCAGAGACACCATCACCAAAACGGTAAGTGTAAATTTTTGGAGATTACTCGGTCGAATTTTTGAGGGTAATTGCAAAGTGTACTTTCTATACAGATAACTAGGAGAGAAATATTCATATGGGAGGTTAACATTTGAGTATATTAAATAGTAATTAGTTGTATATTAAATAGTTTGTTAACTGCTAATGCAAAAAATACACATTTTTAAAAATGTTATTCAAATTGTGTTTTCAGATTTAAAACAGATTTAGAGCCCGATCAGGAAGTAATCATTTACGATGATAATAAAGAAGACATTGACTTTTTAAAAGGGGAAACATCTAGCACATCTACTGCGTCTGAAACCCAAGATGAAATTATCAAGATGTTACCGGGAGTAGATACAGAAACTACTGCTGATACTGCTACTGGCCCTCAAACTAGTTGTAGAGGAATACTGTCTGTAGTTGTTCCAAAAGTACAACCATCTAAAAAGGATACCGTTTTGAAACAGAAGAAAAAAATTAAAATCTTACAACAGTCTGTTAGAAGACATTGGACATGGGTAAGGACCCTTCATTCTTTAATAGAAGTTTTAAAGAAGAAGGCAATGATCACGGACAATGCAGAGACAACTTTAATGGTAGGTATACATTTTCCATTTTTTAAGTTAACAGAATGTATATCGTTTATTTTTTTGAAATTGAACAGCTGATTGAAAATGATTCTGAGCAAAACTTTTTAGGATCATATTTTAAAGTTGCAGTGTTTTTCCAGTGGTCAGTGTAACATAATATTTAACTTTGCATTAGAATCTTATACCTAACCAAGGACATTTTACCTAACAAACTTGTATTTTTACAATTTCAAATGAATGACAGTAATTAATTAGTTAATTTTTAATTAATGACAGAAATTTCTTATAGTTACTATGTATGTTTTCCGGCGTCACTTCCTGAAGCTACGGGAGAATTATTTGAAAAATTGCTGAAAGGTCCCAGTAAATAAAAATATAGTCTAGCCATGAGATCTTTTGCGCTTACTTTAAACTTTTGTTCGCCGAGAGCATATAATTTTGTGAGAGATTATTTTTTAATCGTTCCGTTCCACATCCGACCACAATTTCTAAATGGTATAAAACTGTTGATGGTGCACCTGGGTGGAGCAATGAGGCGTTGAATGTATTAAAAGTAAAAGTTAAAGAAGGACAAGAAAAAGGGTGTAAAATATTTTGTAATGCTGTCCTTGATGAAATGTCTATTCGTACGCAGATAGAATGGGACGGTAAAACATTTTTTGGATATGTTGACGTAGGCACAAATGTACATAGCGATTCCCTACCAGAAGCAAGAGGCACTGGTATTTATGCTTGTTTGTTTAAATGACTATTGGAAAATCCCAGTAGGATATTTTTTGTTAGATGGATTGAATGCCGAAGAAAAGGCAGCTTTAGTTATGAACGGTTTGGAATTTATAAACAGCAGTGGGGTAGAAGTAACATCTCTTACTTTTGACGGAGCTCCCACCAATTTTATCATGGCTTGTCAGTTAGGAGCAAATTTCAGGGATACTTCAACATTGACAAAATTTTTTTACATCCAGTTACTAAAGACAAAGTTTTTATATTTCCCGATCCTTGCCATATGATAAAGCTTATCAGGAATTGTTTTGGATCACAAAAAAATTTAGAGGACAGTAATGGTAAACAAATTAATTGGTTATTTATTGAAAATTAGGTTGATTATCAATATTCGCAAGAACTTCACGCATTAACTAAATTGAAACGTAGACATCTGTTATGGATGAAAGAGAAAATGAAAGTAAGACTCGCCACCCAGACCTTAAGTAAAAGTGTTTCTGATGCACTACTATATTTATGCCAAGACTGTAAACACCCATTATTTCAACATGCGGAAGCAACTGCACAGTTTGTAATAATTTTTAATGATCTTTTTGATATATTTAATTCAAAAACAAGATTAGTTAAATATGAGTATAAAAAACCACATCATTAAACACATATAAGCACTTTTTCAATATTTGAATACTATTAAAAATTACATTCATGGTATTAAGTTAAATAATGAGTTAATTATAAAATCTGCAAGGAAAACAGGATTTTTAGGGTTTTCGATATGTATCGAAAGTTTAAAAGGCTTATTTGAAGAACATGTTCAAGTAAAAATGAACATGAAAAATATATTAACATACAAATTATCACAGGATCATCTTGAGCTTTTTTTTTGGTGCCATATGTAGTCGAGGTGGCTTTAATAATAACCCTACTGCAGAACAGTTTGAAGCGGCTTTTAAAAGGTTAATAGTACATTCCCAGATAAAAGCTGGAGACACCGGTAATGCCATTAATTTAGATGCAACTTCGATACTGGTGTGCAGTAGTGTCAGCTCAAAGTTGACAACAAATGACGATAATATTGATTTGCAGAATTCCCTTGACAACATAAACTTTGAAAATAATATTAAATAGCAAATTTCTAACGAAAATTATTTAAATTCTGCTGCTTGGAATTTAACGGATTATGTCCAAGATGTAGTTTCATACATCTCTGGATTTGTTGTGAGACAACTAAAAAATATCTTAACATGTTTAAAATGTTTAAGTACAATTGAAAGTGATGTTTCATATTCCATCCTCTTGACGAGAAAGGAATATAAACAGTTAACAAGACCATCTCTGTTTGTAATCAGTGTTTGTAAGGCAGGTGAACACTATTTTCGATTTTTTAATAAAACTGCTGGAATATTTAATAAAAAAGTAAAGCAGTTGTTGCCAGTTCTAATTAATAATACATTGTCAAATCTACCTTGTACTGTATACAATGATTTTGGTGAATATTTCTATGATGAAGAGCCCCATACAGGGCATGCTACAATGTTAATAAAGTTAATTTTGAAAAAATATTTTACCATTACGATTCATAATGAGACGGTAAAAAAATTAGATAAAAAACTGATCGAGTTAGAAGTTCTCTAACAAAACAAATTCTTTTTAAAAATCAGTAACCATTGATCGTTATGTTAAATATAATAAGTATTTTTTTTGTGGAATCAAGTGTTTTTCTTATTCATATACTTTTATGCCCTTTGCATATATTCCATAAAAAAATTAACAATTTATTATATGTTAATTATGAATATTTTGTTATTAANCCATCCTCTTGACGAGAAAGGAATATAAACAGTTAACAAGACCATCTCTGTTTGTAATCAGTGTTTGTAAGGCAGGTGAACACTATTTTCGATTTTTTAATAAAACTGCTGGCATATTTAATAAAAAAGTAAAGCAGTTGTTGCCAGTTCTAATTAATAATACATTGTCAAATCTACCTTGTACCGTATACAATGATTTTGGTGAACATTTCTATGATGAAGAGCCCCTTACAGGGCATGCTACAATGTTAATAAAGTTAATTTTGAAAAAATATTTTACCATTAGGATTCATCATGAGATGGTAAAAAAGTTAGATAAGAAACTGATCGAGTTAGAAGTTCTCTAACAAAACAATTTTTTTTTTAAAATCAGTAACCATTGATCGTTATGTTAAATATAATAAGTATTTTTTTTGGAATCAAGTGTTTTTCTTATTTATATACTTTTATGCCCTTTGCATATATTCCATAAAAAGATTAACAATTTATTATATGTTAATTATGAATATTTTGTTATTAAATATATTCGTTACACTTACAGTTGGTATTAATTTTGTGGAAAACTTTTATTAATTGTATCGACAGTGGAAAAACCTTTTTCTTGATTTTTGACATCATTTTACATATTGAGATAAATTCAGAATTATAATGGAATCTCTTTTTTATAAAAATACTGAGTAGCTGTTGAAATATATTGACTTAGGACTATAAAATATTTTATTTTGACCCTTCCAAAACGTACCACATTGGAGATGTAATCGCGTGCATCAGTTGGATGAAAATAAAGCCATCTGCTTTCCCCTTGCCTAGCTTCACCCAACATATGAGATAGTGACATGCATAGTCCCCTTTATTTAAATGTCCTTGGTCAAAACCGACTTGTGTCGACAAGTTGCTTGACAGTGACAACTGAAATTTATGCCGCAGCCGACCAGAGCAACAGTGTGTAACGCCGTTTGCTTGCACACGCATTCTTGAACTGGGCATATACATTTCTACCACCTGCATGTTTAGTTCGACCAGACTTGTATATGGGTATAGCTAAATAAATGTGGGAACAAGTTTTTCAAATATTTCAGTGCCTAGTTGCTGGGTCAGCGACCGAACCTGGTACCTGGTATCATCCTCTTGGTTCTTCAATTGATATCAGAAAGACTATTCCATTAATGCTTTCTTCAGTCCCAAAAAAAACTATATATTCCTATAAAGTTTAACACATTTTTTTTTATTGCAGAACATCAGTGCTACCAGCGAGCCTGTTACATGCAGACCTTGTTTGAATTCACTTGGTACACATGGCGGGTTTTTAAAGGAATACTTTAATGCACAGGAAAACTACAAAAGTGCTGATAATGAGTCTGTTATTAAATCTGAAAAGATTAAAATAAAACTGGAAGACGATCAGGATGAGCAAGAGAAATATGAAAGTGGTGAAATGCCGGTTTATATCAAATTTGAGGAAATTGAAATAAAGGGAGAAGAGGATCGGGATGGGTAAGGAAAATTTTGTTAAATGTACTACTTAGTACCTACGGCCTATGTCCAAACTCGACGGCCAAAAATATAGATAGTGATTCATACATAATAATACATAATATAGAAACACTATTACCGTAAAGTGTATAAAACTTAAAATGATTTTTATAACGGTTCAATATTATTTGCTTATGTTAATTGATGTGCCGCTCTCTTTGCACATCGATAGGATCTATAACAGTCATAGACTGAGTTACACTGAACGCGATTTATTTCCTATCTCTGTCTATCGCACTTATTACAGATAGGGAAATGCTCTTTTTAGTGGGTGTAAACGGACGTACGTAGAATTCGAGTTAGCCGTAGTTAGAAACGTCAAACTATAAGCGCGCGCGAGGGTTTGCATATTCCGTGACTATAGTAAATTTATAAATTAAAAAAATACAATCGGGACGTTTTAAAACGTAGGAATAATAATTAAAATGGATCAAAGTGCCGGTTGTAGCAAACGGTCTGTTGCTCATAAACGCCCTAACCTATGCGATGCGGAATTAATAATGGTAAAAAACGTGTATAAAGGAATTCGGTCGCGAAATTCTAATACAAGTGTAAGTGAAGCTGTTGATATGTGTAGTTCGTTGACAAAAGTATCCGTTGCTACTGTTTATCGTGCCATAAAAAATAGTGTAGAAGTGAATCCAAAGAAGAAAAAAGTGGAAACACGAGGGAGGAAGAAAATAGAAGTCGACGTTGACGTGAAATACTCCATACGTAGGAAAATTCATGGATTTTTCTTTAGAAATGAAATACCAACGATAAAGAAAATTCAAGCTGCAATAGCTGAAGATGAGGATATTCCTAATTTCTCTGATAAGGTTCTTAGAAGAATAATGCGTGACATGAATTTTCGATATTTGAAACGGAATCGGAATAGTATGCTCGTTGAAAAAGACGAAATTGTGGTATGGCGAAGAGAATACTTAGAAAAAATAAGAGAACTTCGTGCATCTGGTAAGAAGATATATTACATGGATGAAACATGGGTAAACGAAGGTCATACTGTATCAAAAGTTTGGCAGGATGGTAATGTTAAGAGTAAGAGACAAGCATTTTTAGATGGATTTTCTACTGGATTAAAGGCACCTTCTGGAAAAGGACGAAGATTGATTATAACACATATTGGAAGCGATACGGGATTTTTAGAAAATGGTTTGCATGTATTTGAGTCACGAAAAACGGGAGATTATCATGAAGATATGAACAGCGACGTGTTTGAAAAATGGTTTGAATATGTTTTATCATATCTGGAGCCAGGAGCAGTTGTTGTGATGGATAACGCACCTTATCATAGTAGAAGAGTTGAAATGTTACCGACATCAGCATGGAGAAAAGGAAATATTATGGACTGGTTACAATCGAAAAATATTGAATATACAGAAACCATGCTAAAAGTACAATTATTAAAAATTGTCCAAAGAGAAAAAGGTCAATACATTAAGTATGTAGTGGATGAGATGGCCAAAGATCGAGGAATTCGTGTACTCCGTTTACCGCCATACCACTGTGAATTAAACCCAATTGAGTTGGTTTGGGCACAAATAAAGAATGAAATCGCACGAAAAAACACCACCTTTAAAATAAACGACGTGAAATTATTATTACAGGATGCTATTAATCACGTCACTGCTGAAACATGGTGTAAGTGTATTGGACATGCACAGAAAGAGGAACAACGTATGTGGGATCTTGATACAACGGTAGAAGTGTTCATAGAACCAGTCATTATTCATTTGGGTGAAGATGATTCTAGTGATAGTGATAGCAACAGTGATATGTGAAATATATAATGTGAATAATGTGATATGTAAGTATTTAAATATATTAATAGTGAAGTGATTATGTGGCAGTGAAGTGAAAGTGTGACAGTGATAATATTCGTGAGATAATTATTATAAAATATGTAAGTACCTACTTAAATAAATATATTAATAGTAAACATTACAATATTTTGCGGCGGCGTAAGCCGGGTGGTGGTGGGTTATCGATGCCCAAGAGGGCATCGTTTTATAGAAAACACTTAAAATTTAAAAACAAAATGTTACTAAAATATTTTTGAAGTTTTCTCGATAAAACCTCTAAAAGTAATAGATGTTATGTTTTATTATATTTTTTCCATATTTTCTACATCTTGTTGCTTTTACGTATACACGCCTATGGATTTTCGATCCCCGCACGCCTCATCCTCCTTACTAGTCCAAGAGCTAGCAATGAATCACTATCTATATTTTCGGCCGTCGAGTATAGTTATTCTGTGGATGAACAATCTTAGCGAATGTAACTCAATGCTGGGTGGGGTTTAGTCCACAGAGTTGCTGTTTCCTACAATATCTTTAGTTAAAAACTTTGTTTCGACTGGTACGATACTGTCGTTACTTCCATAGTACGTACAGATTGGTAGGTCACTCTCTGCCAGTAAGTACAAAAATGTGATTTGTGCCAGTAGCAGTGACCATTAAGATAGACACTTTGAAGTATATCTCACCCACACAAATTTTTTGATATAAAGTGTTGCAATACCAATTAATTTTTATTGTGTTTTGATAGCAGACATTTCGTAATCAGTAATATAGAAAATTTGAAATATGATTAGAAACATCTCATTTAACTGTTTTTTATTTTCTGTTATTCAGTTTCTCAAAACACTTATTTTAATTCCTGTTTATTTCATTGTGACCATTTTTAAATTTTTCAGTGTCCCTTCTTCGTATGACTTAGACGCTGAGACAATTGAAAGCAAGAAAAGACGCATTTCAGAAGATGTAGGAGTAATAAAAGAAGAATATAAATGTGAGACAGGATTTAACGAAAACTACGGAATGTTAATTGACAACAACCAACTACCCAAATATGAAAAGTCTTGACTTCAGAAATGTGAACCTTCCATAAATGCATAATTGTAGCACAAGCCAAATGTACAAATGTGATACATGTGGTTATTATGAAGCTAAACGTAAGACAAATGTGAAGGCACATCAGTTAGTGCACAAAAAAAATACTAAGTATACAAATGCATAATTGTAGCAATGTGATAAGTGTAAACATGAAACTAAGCTTAAAGGGAACCCGAAGAGGCATCAGTTAACACACAAGGACCCTTCTGAAATTGAAATGTAGAAGTGTGATACATGCACCAAGTGTACAAGTGTGGTCAGTGTAGTTATGAGACTCATTTTAAAGACTACTTAAAAATACATCAATTAATACTCAAAGATCCTTCAGAAATTCAAATGTACAAGTGTGATGTGTGTAGTTATAAAACTAAGCATAAGAGTTATTTGCATCAGTTAATGCATAAAGACCCTTCTAAAAGCCAAATGTACAAATGTGATACATGTGGTTATTATGAAGCTAAGCGTAAGACAAATGTGAAGGCACATCAGTTAGTGCATAAAGAAAAAAAATACTAAGTGTACAAATGTGATTGGTGTAGTTATAAAAACTCATTTTCTATTGCATCATTTAATAGATAAATATCCATCAGAAATCCAAATATACAAATGTGATACTAGTATATATGAAACTAAATATAAAAACAATCTAGATAAGCCTCAGTTAGTACACAAATATCTCTGTGAAGTTGAAATGTACATGTGTGATACGTGTAGTTTTGAAACTAAATTTAGGGAAATTCTCGATTAGTACATAAAGATTTCTGTAGTTGTGTAGTTATAAAACTAGAAATGAGAAGTATCTGAAAAGGCATCAATTAAAGCACAAAAATTCTTGAGAAATCCAAGGGTACAATTGAATGCAAATTGAATATATGAATAATCTAAAATAAGCATCAGTTAACACATAAAGACTCTTCAAAAATCCAAATGTACAACTGATATGGTCGTTATGAAACTAAAGACAACTCTCACCAAGAACATCAATTGCAGAAATCAAGTGTACAACTGTGATAGGCACCTGAAAATAAGCGACAAGCTAGCTGTTATAAAAACTATAAAAGAAAATTTATAAATTCTGCAGTTAATAAACAAAGATTCTTCAAATATTTCTGTGCTCAACAATAGATGCTTTGCAGGTAACCTCATACACGATCCAATTTCTTTGCTACATCATTTAAGCTCCTTTTATAATAAAAAAATAAATCAAACATTTCTTTAACTTCATGAATTTGTTCAGTAAGAAATTCACGAAAATTAAAATATGAAGTAGCTCAGAAGTACCAACCCAACAAATCTTCAGCCTCAGATCACCATATGTAATTGTGTGGCATCATACTACTTTTATATTGTTTGCACTGATCTGTTGCTTACAAAAACTAATATTTATAAATAATGTCAAAACGGTACCGCTATTGTACCATTACATATATGTGGATAGCTAAGACAATTTTTTGAATAAAATTTGTAATTTATTTGCTGCTTTGATTTGTTGGTAGTACCGATTTATGTGTCAAAGAAATTGACGAAGTCTCTAGTAGTGTAAAACCAAACCCTTTATGAATTAATTCATGAAGAACTTCCTGAATTTATTCATGAATCAATTGTCAATGTAAACCAGGTCTTAGACCTGCGGCATATATAATTCCCAATATTTCCTAACATTACGGAATTTCCGTCCATGTTTAAAATAAAATAAATATGTTCTTGATTTTTGTTTCTTTACAACGTCGTAAGATGCCCTCTGGAATTCAGCTATTAGCATTATTACCAGTCGCGCTAGAAGTAGACACGACCCCCGATCCCCGTGCCCTCCCCAAAAACAATCCAATAAATCTATTTGGTCAGACTAGCCACCTGGCCCCTCAAGGCGCACCCCAAGCAAAAATCCTACCTATGCCCATGGCTATTACCGCTATCAGCGGCAGCTTGTAGCAAATATACAGGTGTCATAACTCTAACCGGGGGTTAATTTTTTAGGGATAATAATAAGTGCTCTCTAGAACGCTTTGAAATTATTTTTAAATAGAGATGGGAAAATTCCCAAACTATGAAAATTCCTGGAAAGTTTCCATTGAAAATTCCGGAAATTTTCCGAAATTTTCAAAAATTTTTTTTTTGAATTTGGTATTGTACATACCATCAGTTTTCCAAAAAGGCCAAAAACATACATTTTTGTTTACATTAGTATAAATATTGGAAAAATATAAATTATTAATCATAGGTTAATAAAAATTTCATGCCACAGGTCGCAGTGCAGTAAACACTATATAATATACAAAACTCTATTTATCTTTATTTTTTAACAAATTAATAGTAAATACATTAAATAATTATACTAGTTTTAAAATGTAATTGTACTTTGGTTCAACTATCAAAATTTATTTAAATTTGAAAAGGGAGAGGCAATTTATGTCTTGTATTGCTCTCTATTATGTAGATTGTAGACATAACAAAGATTAAAATAAGTAAGTGTTAGTGTTTTGTGACTAATTTGGATAATATGGCCTTATGCTATTCCGAATTAACCGAAAATCCGAAATTAACGAATGATTTTTTGAGCTTGTCTTCACAGAAGTTAGAAGTAAAATTGGCTCCAAGTATACAAATTGTTAGAAATATTCCCCAAAAATTTCTGACGGAAATTTTTCCAGAAACTTTCCAGGGAAAATTTCTCAAGCTTCGATTATTTCTTCCCGGAAAATTTCCGTTTTGGAAACTTTCCGGGACGGAAAATTTCTCATTGCCCATCTCTATTTTTAAATCAAATACCGAGTCGAATTATATTTTGTTTACCAACTGTATGAAGCTGACGGAATACCGGGTGTAGTATCATTCGCCGCTTTCTGAAACCCCCGACGTCATCGACATTGCCCTTTTAAAATCTATACCGTTAAATGCCCAAATATCCACCCAATACGAAGGGTCTTCCGCCCACAATCCAATATTTCTGGATCTGGGGCGAAGACAGAGATATGAAGGCACCTTCACGAGGAGGTTCACTGACTGGGAGCGTTTCCGAACAGTAATGCAAGGAAACATGGCGCTCCCAGTCATCGAAACCACCCATGATCTGGAGGCGGCAATCCTCTCCCTTGAGACTGACATTAAAAACGCCCTGACTCAGACTACGACGGAGACTATTGTCCCCCGACTGACAAACCCCCGGGGCACCCTCCCCGATGACATAAAAAACTTAATACGTGACAGACGACGTGCGAAACGGCTTGCCACCCGCACCCGCCTCCCCCGACACAGACATGACTTAAACGTACTTAACAGACGGGTGAAGGCGGCTCTGGATGAACTGGCCCAGGATAACTGGGCTAGGCACCTGGAGTCGCTGGATCCACAAGACAACAGCCTCTGGAAAACGCAGAGGGCCCTGCGACAGACCGCTCGCCGTAAAATTCCTCCAATCCACGGTAGTGTGGGGGTGGTTTACACGAACCAGGAAAAGGCCGAGGCTTTCGCCGATAGCCTGGAACTGCAGTGTAGACTGCCTCAGCTGCCCGACGAAGACGAGGAATTCGAGATAGTGGCTGAGCGCGCGGCCCGACGCGTCGACAGAGAGCCAGACAATGACATAATCCCCCCCGCAACACCTGACGAACTAAGACTGACAATACGCAGACTTAAAAACAGAAAAGCCCCCGGACCCGACAATATACATAACACGACACTTAAACGACTACCACACAAGGGCCTCATGGCCCTACTAAACATAACAAACGCGACACTCAGACTAAGACACTTCCCTACCCGCTGGAAAACAGCAAACATAATCCTTATCCCAAAACCCAACAAAGATCACACCATCCCATCCAACTACCGGCCCATTAGCCTGCTCCCGGCTATGAGCAAAGTGGTAGAAAAAATTATCCTAACCCGTCTAAGAACCCACTCCCAAGAACTGCAAGTCATTCCAGACGAGCAGTTCGCCTTCCGACCCAATCACTCCACTGAACTCCAAATCCTTCGCCTTACCGAGCACATCACGGCGGCCTTCAACAGGGGACAGTACACTGGTGCTGTCTTCCTGGACGTCGCAAAGGCCTTCGATACGGTTTGGCATGAAGGCCTACTGATGAAAATGCTCACCAACCAATATCCCATATCCTTTACCAAACTCATAAAATCCTACCTACACCACCGAAAATTCCGCATCCAAATCCAAGATTCCCTTTCCACCACCCGTCCCATGGAGGCCGGTGTCCCCCAGGGCACCGTCCTGTCCCCACACCTATACACCATTTACAACTCCGACATCCCACATCCCCCCAACACCAACATATACTTATACGCCGACGACCTGACAATCACATCCCAATCCGTAGATCCTAGATATTCCGTCTACCTCCTCCAAAGCTCCTTAGACCAACTTGAAACCTGGTGCAACAGGTGGAAAGTCAAAATTAATCCCAACAAAAGTTCGGCTATCCTTTTTACCAAACGAAAAATCCCACAAAACCTTGACAGACTGACACTATCCCAGGAACCCATCTCCTGGAATCGACAAACACGATACCTGGGCGTGACGATGGACCAGCGTCTCACGTGGAAACCGCACATCGTGGAGACGGTGGCGCGAGCGAAGACCACCAGGGCTAGGCTCTATCCCTTACTCAAAGGTGGAAACACCCTCAGTTTAAGGAATAAGCGAACGCTTATCAAGGTGGTACTTCAACCGCAGCTAACCTACGCCTCCACGGCGTGGGGTCACGCGGCAAAAAGCCACTTAAAGTCATTACAGGCTGTGGAAAACATAGCCCTCCGCACGGCCACCGACGCGCCCTGGTACGTAAGAAACACTGACATATTACGAGACTTACAATACACAAACGCTACACAGACAATAAGACAAAACGCGGAGAAACGATTTGACGTAGCCGCTAGACATGACAATCCCCTCCTCAGGCAAGCCGTTGACTACGTACCCGACGTGACCGACAAACACAAAAGACCTAGACACCAACTTTTTGACCCTGGGTGACCACCCCAATGACCCCCCCCCTGCCCGCTAACCTTTTCTGTTTCAGAGACAGCCAGGATCAAGAAACGAAGACAACGACACACACACACACATACACACCCCCCATACCCTCCTTAACCCTCCCCTCCCGCGCTAGCCTAAGGGCCACCTTAGCAAAGCGCATCCCAGGCTGCATAGCCGCACTACCCTACCCAACCATACCACACATAAACATGACACTACCCCCGGGGTTTACACAGACGAGCCGGCGAAGCAAGAAGAGCGCCAGAAGAAAGGGCCCTAGCCGGCGGGGCCCAGCCAGGACAAAAGGAGGTCCCACAAAGCGCCTACACCGGCCGCATTTGCGGTCGGGGTAGACGACGGATGGGGCCCACCTACGAAGGCTGTCCAGGCCTACACGAGATGAGGCAGGATAAAGAGGGATAATCCCCCTCGATCCCAAATCATTGAGGCCAATTTCTAGCCATGGAATAATGGCGCGCGCTTTCTGAAACGATAGTTAAGTAGTAAAAACAAATTTTTATTGAAACAAATACAGTCTCGAAATTTTTTACCCTATTTACAAGTAACATAAACTTAAAATAAATGTATTAAAGTGAAACGGTAGCATACGCTGTCATTCTTGTTTCTCGATTTAACATTGGCCATTTGTCATTTACCCCCTAGAGATGAGCAATACAGATCGTTCACTGACCCGCATGATGCGAAATGTGTCAACATAAAAATATGCATCTGCACTTGTATGTACTTATTGCGTGCTCTTGTCGCTTACTCATTCCCTTTTCGTCTTGTATCACGCTCACTATCGTGTATATATCCTTAAATTCTAATATAAGGAATATAGAACCTACTATAAGATTTGCTTGATTGCGGAAACAAGTAGAATGTCAGCCAATTAGAAGCGCTTCATGCATTTAGCGAGTCCAAACTCCAAAGCATTCTGGTCGTGCACGTTCACAAGATGCTCAGGATTTATAATTATCCTAATTAATTTTCTCGAAACCAGAAAACAAAGAAAGCACTTATTATTTCAGAAATAGCCTCTATAATTAGTGTTATATTTTCGATCAGAGTTCAACATTTAAATACGAAATACACATCATTCCGCCAATTATCTGTTAATTATAAGTATTGTTCCAGTGTTCAGCAGTTTCGTATTCGCATTTCAATAATTAATAAAAATGAAATAATATCTAATGTATCTCATCGGCCTGTATCAAACACGAAAATCTGATGGGACGAATCACTTAAGTTCACTCTCAATTCACATACGAAATTATTTTTGTATCGAGATCCGCATGAATCAATTCCCACTAGATATCCGTATAATTTATACGTATGATGCGGACCTTACCCACTAATACCCACCTCTATTGTCCGCCTAGCGCCTTGTATGTTTATAAAAATATTAAGGTTTATAAAAATTAATTCTGTGCTCAAATTCTTTTGTGTCTGTTTTTCTTATGGTTTTAGAGAGAGAGAGAGAATGCTATGAGTAGATCACTACAAGTTAATTTTCGTAATCTCTATTAAGTGAGGTTATGGAATGATTGTTTACAAAGACAAAAATGTCAGATCGTTGAATGTTTACGTCAACATTGTTTGGAAGTTTGGAACGTCTAGAGTTCTTGATCAGAAAACAAATATGCATCCAACAAACTTGAAAAAAATATTTTGTAGACTGTGTCTAAATAGTATAAGGGATGCAAATTACCAGATAATAAGAGAAAACATAAAGCATGCTCTAGGAATTGTTTTTCCAACTCTGGTAAGATCAAGTTATGTTTATAGGTACCTAGTTGATTTATACTTTAATTACAAATTTGTTCCAGAATTTGGAGGAAAATGATAAACATTTTATATGTAAAGTATGTTACGAGAAATTATTTGCCGCTTTTAACTTTAAATCAATATGTATGGATACGGAGGACATTATTTTTCTTCATATTAATGCCAGTAAAGTATCAGTGGCTGATTTAAAAGAAGTTTATATAAAAGAGAAGGGATATATTCAGTTAACCGATGTAGGGGAAAATCAGAGAATTTGTCGATTATGTTTTCAGTTCGTAACATATGGATCTGTATCATTAAATGAAGTGAATGTTGACATCTTGGATATATATATACCACAACTTGTAAGTATATTTTGAAGTAGATACTTAGGAAAATGTATATACAGCGTGTTTTTGAATGGAGTAGCATAAATTGATACCAGTGAATCTACATTTCAAAAGAACACGATCTGCAAAAAATCGCCTTAGTAAAATGTTCACCCCTGAAGAGATATGGGCCATCAAAGTTTCCAAAAAAATTATGAAAATTGGCTGTAATTTGAAAACCGAACGAGGTACAAATAACAAATTTTTTACAGGTTGTTTACTAATACAGATGCGAGTTTTCAACTATTTTTCGAAAATTTTAACCCCTCGAAAGGGGTTGAAATAACCACCCCTCAAGCCATTTTTTGCCATAACTTTTATATTTCGTAAAAACTCGATATCCAAAAATACGCATTAGATAAACTGGTTCTTTTAGAAACTTTTACCTCTCTAGCAATTTTCCTTTAAAACTTTTCGTTTATTAATAAAAAAATAAAATGTATTACCATTCACCTCACACCGTATATGATTGCAATCAATCAAAGAAAAACTAAGTGTGCTGCTGTCATGCCAGTTGTCACAATTAACTCTTCTGTAAGTTGTCACTGTTATCAGCTAAATACTTTTTGGGTGTAAATTAACAAGAATTATGCCAAATTTTACTAATGATGAATATGTGGACATGCTACAAGTGTTTTTTTCTACGATCGTGCAAAATTTACTACTTATTGCACTACCTACTGTGCCAAAAGTTTAACTTTTTTTACAGTAGTACAAAAAAAATATTGATTACAAGTTTAATCTAAGCATATCCATAAGTACCTAACGTCTGACATTGACAATTTGCGCAATTAATTTCCAGTTGTCAGTTAAAATTTTAATATTATGTAAAATACTGTTAAATAAAATTTGAAATAAAAACAATCGTAGAAAAAATGTTGCGTGCAACATGTGCAAAAAGCATATTTGTTGCACTTAACATGATTGCAGCTCTCAACTTCGTCTCGAGCTGCAAACTTCATGCATCGTACAACAAATACACACTCTTTACAGTAGTTGCACAAATAACTGTTTGAATGTCGCAGAAACTTTTATTAAATAGAAGTACAATGAAAACGAAACTAAGAAATAATTTATTATCAAAAAGAGAAAAAACAAAAAACTTAGTTAAAGGACATTTTCAAAATAATTGCCATTTCTTTCTAAACACAACCTAACACGTTTATCAAAGTTGTTACGGACTCGAGCAAAAATTATGGGATTGTTGCGAATCTCATCAGCCGCCGCGAATATTCTTTCCTGTAGCTCTTCAACACTGTCAACTGGGGTCGCATAAACAATACTTTTTATATGTCCCCAAAAGAAAAAATCCATGGGCGTTAGATCGGGAGAACGTGCAGGCCAAGAGATAGGTGCCTCATTGCCGCGACCTATCCAACGATTCGGGTAATTTAAATTAAGCCACCGCCTAACTACTACAGTGCTGTGAGCAGGAGCCCCGTCATGCATGTACCACATGGCCTGACGTACATTTAATGGTACTTCCTCCAGAAGTGGTGGTAGATGCTCATTTAAGAACTGCAAATATTCAACAGCACCAAGTCGATGAGGTAAAACAAAAGGGCCGACAAGCACATTTTCTACAATTCCTGCCCAAATGTTTAAACTAAAATTATGTTGAAATGTTGTCATAGATACTTCGTGAGGATTTTCATGAGCCCAGGAATGAAGATTGTGCATATTGGTTAAACCATGTCTTTGAAAAGTTGCTTCATCTGTGAAAAGTATCTTTGAGGCAAAATTCAAATTATTTCTTAGAATATTAAGATACGATTCGCAAAAAACAACTCGCTTATGCATGTCTGGTTCAAGTAGAGCTTGAACTGGCCGGTGGTGAAAAGGATATAATAAATTATCATGGACAATATTCCAAACAACACTATGGGACACATTTAAGTGCATTGCTGTTTTTCTCGTACTAGTCTGACGATTTTCGTCAAACTCTTCAAGTACTGCATCCTCAAGATAAATAGTACGAACAGTAGGTCTTCGGCCGGTACCCTCAATATGCGGCTGTATTTTTCCAGTTTCCCGAAGTCTTCGTTCTACCGCCGAAAAAGTTTGTCTGTGGGGAACTTGACGATTTGGATATCTCTCATTATACGCTCTTGTTGCCGCAGCACAGTTTTTGCGACATTCAAAATACACTTGTAGCATGTCCACATATTCATCATTAGTAAAATTTGGCATAATTCTTGTTAATTTACACCCAAAAAGTATTTAGCTGATAACAGTGACAACTTACAGAAGAGTTAATTGTGACAACTGGCATGACAGCAGCACACTTAGTTTTTCTTTGATTGATTGCAATCATATACGGTGTGAGGTGAATGGTAATACATTTTATTTTTTTATTAATAAACGAAAAGTTTTAAAGGAAAATTGCTAGAGAGGTAAAAGTTTCTAAAAGAACCAGTTTATCTAATGCGTATTTTTGGATATCGAGTTTTTACGAAATATAAAAGTTATGGCAAAAAATGGCTTGAGGGGTGGTTATTTCAACCCCTTTCGAGGGGTTAAAATTTTCGAAAAATAGTTGAAAACTCGCATCTGTATTAGTAAACAACCTGTAAAAAATTTGTTATTTGTACCTTATTTGGTTTTCAAATTACAGCCAATTTTTATAATTTTTTTGGAAACTTTTATGGCCCATATCTCTTCAGGGGTGAACATTTTACTAAGGCGATTTTTTGCAGATCGTGTTCTTTTGAATTGTAGATTTACTGGTATCAGAAAAAATTATTCTTTGACTTTTTTTATTATCGAAACCAAATTTGGTAGACAGTATGACCATATACACTGCTGTAATATGTGTTTTTGTCAAGCTCTCCATGCAACCAGTATCGAAGATGTAACTAGTTAGTACCAGTGATTTGATGAAAAAGGTTGTCTCACCCAGTATAAATTTTAGTTTTATTAAATTTTTACGTACACACCTTAGTTTCGATCAAAAATCGTCTCTTGAGAATTTTTTTTGAATCTGTCATAGTTTCATATTAAAACTTACTTGATATGGATGAAACTAGGAAAAATGTGTACTGTGTCCAAAATTAAAGCAACTTTTTCTAATAAATGTACCCTTCAGTAATTTAGTTTCAAGAAGCAAAATGTTGACACTTAATTTTGTAATGACGCATTATTATTTTCCGATTTGTGTAAGGCCGCTGGCCAGTTATTTATTTAATTAGTTTAATTGGGTGAGAGCAATTAACNTCAACGAATTTTAATTTTCCTCGCCGTGTTATGATTTTTTCTTTATCTTTTTTTTTTATATATGTACATTATATGTATTATATTCCGGGAGTTATACGTGCAAATCCGAAATCCGGGACCATACAGCTAATTCCCTGTACAATCACAGAAAATCCCTGTCATACCCATGTGGCTAGATGTTCTTTTAATATGTCATCAAGATCTACACTAAAATTTATGAGTCCACGAAACACATCAGGGTTGTCCGAATTTTCTGTCTCGTCGTGTCCGCGAAGTACTAATTCGAAAGCTCCGCAAAATTTTATGCAATCTACGATTTTGGATAATACATAACGATTTTTCGTTACTTGTTCATTGTGTTTCCGTATATTATCCCAATATGCAGAATCTAACTGACTTCTTATGTTTATTTTACCTAATGACTTAAATTACTTAATTCTTTCGCACTGTATATCCATGCTTTGTCCCCACCGAAAAGTAAGCACGGAAAACAAAACATTGTATTTTTTAAATCACATCCGCACACCCACTCTGCTTTTGTGTATACATTATTGTTAAATTGTCTTTTATAACTTTTACTTTGGCTTGTTCCACTAACTTCAATATTTAATTGTGGTGTTGGCCCATCTAATTCTTTTATTTTTAGTTTATCCTCATAACGCAGAGAACCAAATAAAGTTTTTTTTTTTTTAAAACGAAACGATATTCATTTTAATAACTATAATATCCGTAGACGCCTAAACGAAAATATTCACACGTGCCGCTCGCAGAAATAAACCACCACATACCACGTACGAAATATTACTGCATTTAGTGCATTTACTGCAGCAGTGGCTGTCGTTGTTGCAGCCACATAACTCCATTTATTCGTGTACTGGTTCGCATGCCTGATTAGCCAATCAAAACAAAGGACGCATCTAATCGTTCGCTGTGCACACATTTTGTATATGAGGTTGCATATATTAAGGAGCGTAGCTCGCGTCGTAATAAATAATAATATAAGCTTCTTCTAGAATTATTTTAGCGCGAGTACATTTGGATTCTTTAAATATTTTGTTGATATTTAATATGATTAAATACATAAAATTTTATGTGTTCTGCAGCTCCGCAGCTCTTATGGTAAAACCGCCACTGATCACCATTAAAAATTTGAAAAATATACTGCTGTAAACTCTGCTCTTTGCCACCTTTCCGTTTAAGTCGTAAGTTTTTGTTTGTTAAAACTAGAGAAGGCTCATCACTTTTATAATCAGAACCTGCGTAAAGATCCTACGCATTCGCATTAGACTCTATTACAAAAACAAAATCTTGGGATTCCATACAGAATATAAGAGAATTTAAGTGAAGCGTGAATTTTAGGAATGAGAGGAGCCTAATGAAACATTTTTTTATATTAAAGGAGAATAAATGCGGGGCATAAATATATTTCGGGGCATAAAGAGGAAAACAAAAAATCGATTTCCACTCTCTCCGCACGCCACGTAATGAGTTCCCGGGAGAATTNGTTTGAGCCATTCCTTTACCATCCATAATCCCATATACGCAATACTTTTAACATAACCTAAATATTTATCTCTAAAAGAGTTTTAAACAGAACAATGTGTTATAATATACCTAAATATCTCGTCTGACAATAAGAAGCAAAAAATTTGTTATCACCTTTAAAAAATTTAAAAAATATACTGCTGTAAACTCTGCCCTTTGCAACCTGCGTAAGGATCCTACGCATTCGCATTAGACTCTATTACAAAAACAAAATCTTG